ATTTACCAGATCCAGGGTCCCAGGTACTTATAATGTAGGGGCCTTAATAATTACCACTAATATTTTTTGTGGGGTTCCTTATGACAATTATACTATAATGGTCCCCAAAACCCTGTTCGAATTACTAAGGCCCCTGTATTACTTATAATCTTCACTGTAGTTCCTTTCTTTTGCTTACCTGAATATGGGATCCATACTATAGATTACAACAAGTTGCCCTAAACCCTAAAGGAACTACAAATGGGTGTACAGGGGTTTGAACATGCTCTACGACTCTGAGTTTTACGGTTCGGGTTTCCGGAGCCGCATGGCTTCCGGGTGTTATTCTTGATTTAGGGTCTATAGGGTTTAGGGTTTAGGGGGTTTAGGGTTTAGAGTTTTTTACAGAAGCCTCAATTTCGTGCTACACAAGAAGCTCTACTGCGCCACCTTAGCCATTGAGAGTCATTAGGGCTTGTGTGTTATACACCATCTGTGCAGTTTTTTTAAATTAGGGTCAATTTTTAGGTCCCCAATACAGTACGGCACCCTTAAAAAAAGGACCCCCAAAAAGGGACCCTACTTTGGAGAACTACCCGTCTGCTGTGCTTGCAGGACTCGCCTGCACCTGACAGGCCAAGGGACAATGGGGGATTTAGAGCCAGGGGATGGACGCTCTGTAACGAGATTCTCTGATTCTCTTCTAAGGGACTAGGTTCCCCAGTAGTACTCGTACCCTTTTTGCCCTTTGTCTTTTTCGGTTCCGTTAATAAAACCCTAAGCCCTAAATCCTAAAGCCTAAACCCTTATTCTTTAGGGGCTACTGGGGAACCCAGGGGAGGCACCTCGAGCTCCAGAGCACTAAATCCTCAACCCCTGAACTCTGAAGAAACTTCGAGTCAAAGGAAACTACAGGTGGGGAGTTTAGCGTACATAGGGCTTCTATAAGGTTTCCCTAAAAGCTCCATGTACCCATATAGCATATACTTAGGCCTTAAAGGGGTTCCTATATAGGTACTTTAAGGCCTATGTATATATTATATAGGCACATGGAGCCTTAGGGTTCTATAAGGTATATAGACCTGCTATAAGGCTCCTATAACGGTTACAACCCACCGGATTGTAGCCCCAAAGCCCTAAACTTAACCCAATGCAGCATTAGAAGCCGCAACCCTAGCCCTAAACCCGAAACCAATGAAAGACATTCTCGCTTGAGTGCCCTTCTTTCGAAAGCCAGGGAACAACGAGGGAAGAACAAAGAAGGTGTGTCCGCCAAGGAGAAAACTGCTTCCGCTGCAGCAAACGGACATGCTGGCGGCCAGCAGCAGCTTGCATCCGAAAAGCAGGAGACGTCACAATACCTCCAGAGTGCCCGCTAGTGCCCCTTCAATGATCCACGTATCCTTCGATGGAGGACGCATCGGCGGCCGCAGGAGGGTGACGTACGCCGTCATGGATGGCTTGACCAGGCGCGCTGCGTGGGCACCGCCCCTCCGCCTCAAGGACACCTCCCAGACAGGCACTCGCTGCCATCAGCGGCAAGCGGCCGTCTAGACACTAGCGCGGCCGCTGAGATTGGTCCTGTTGTGGCCAAAGTCGAGCACATTCCGACCTACGAACAGTTGCTGGGCCTGGACAGCACTGTTCGTGCCATGTTTCCAGCTCTTGGTCCTTGGTGTACAAGTCATCATTTCATGTTTGCCTTGATTCCTTTCCCTAGTTTTAAAAGGTCCTGCCCCTTCCTTCAAATTTGCAATTCTGAGATCCCGGGTCGAGTGTTTGTATCAAGCATCTAGAACCCCAGGACCTATAATTAGAACTGCAGCTACAACCCTACACCTTAAACCCCAAACTTGAAATGGCTACGCCTCAGGCCATTTTTGCTTCAAGAGGATCTTTAGTTGCTGAGGCTGAGCGCAGTTAAGGGCAAGGACCACCAAGACCGCTCCACTTCGCTTAGGGATTTGCGCTTCAGGGTTTAGGATTTCTGAGTGTCGTATTCTAATGTTTGGAATGGGCATAATCTTTGTTGTAGAACAACTCCCAGTCTTTTGGGCTTCAAGTTGCCGGGTTCCCTGTATCTTAGCATTCCCGAAGCCCCCAAACTTAGGTAAAAAAGTGGCCCAATAACTATACAAGGTTATTATTCTACATACTTTAACCCTAAACCTTAATTAAACCCCTAAACCCTAAACCCTAAACTTTGGGGGTTCAGGTCACGGTTCGCAGTTTTTTGGTGCAGTTTCTGGCAGAACTGTCTTGCCAGGGACGTTTGCAGACTGGAAGACATCGTTTGCCGCCTTCTCGGGTTCAGGGTTTAGGAGTTTAGGGGTTTAGGGTCTATAGGGCTTCGATGGTTTAGGGTGTAGGGTTTTAGGGTTTAGGGTTTAGGGTGTAGGGGCTTTGGGTTTAGGGTTTTGTGCTGTGTTAAGTTGTTGGCTTGTAAGGGATATTGTGGGGGTTCAGCAAAGACCATAGTACATAAGGGCTTCTGGGATTATTTGCTGCACACGGGTAGTGGTTAAGGCTGAGATTTTTGCGGGCTACAACAATAGCATAAATCCCAAGCGCCCTGACCCTCAGCCCCTGGTTATAAGCCACCCTAAACCCTAAACCCCAAACCCTAACATAGTTCAATTAAAGGGTATGGGGCGCTCAACCCTACCAGAGTCCCAGAAGAATCCCACAACCTACTGTTTCAGGGGTTATGGCCCCTTGCTTAAGGGGTCATAACCCTAAACCCTAAACCCTACTATTTTGTAGGGTTTGGGGCTAAATTAAATTTCAACCCGGTGAAACCCTTCACTGAAGGGGTCATAACCTACTATGTTGTAGGGTTTGGGGCTAAAATTAAATTTCAACCCGGTGAAACCCTTCAAAACCCTAACCCTAAACCCTAAACCCTAAACCCTAAACTGTCCAGCCTCCAGAAACCTTGCGTCCCCAAACCCTTGGGGCTCCGGAGTTCCTGTGCAGAGCTTTTTCCAATAGCAGTACTCTGAGAGGTTTAGGGTTTAGGAGTTTAGGGTTAAGGCTTTCGGGGTTTAGGGTTTAGGAATTTAGGGTTAAGGGTTTCGGGGCTTAGGGTTTAGGAGTTTAGGGTTCAGGGTTTCGGGGTTTAGGGTTTAGGAGTTTAGGGTTAGGGGTTTCGGGGTGAAGGGTTTAGGAGTTTAGGGTTAAGGGTTTCGGGTTTAGGGTTTAGGATTGAGGAGTTGAGGGTTTGGGGTTTCGGCGAGTATTTATTGTAACATCGACCCTTGATTGGCTTTGGTGGGGTTCCCCCATTATGGCACTGACAAACGAGGTTGCCCTAAAGAAGAGAAGCCGGACAAGTATCATAATTCTTTGAGGGTGGGGTGGTGCCACATGGGTAGTTCTCTCAGTCCCCAAAAGAGCACGGCACCCTTATAAAATGGTCATGAAAAGGGTTTAGGGTTTAGGGTTGGCACCCTTATAAAATTGTCATGAAAAGGGACCCTAATCGAGAGAACTAAGTATGGTGATGTGAAGCGGCCTTGCAAATCGCTCAAGCCATTCGTAAATTCCACACCCTACCTCATATAGGTTTAAGGCTTAGGATTTAGGGTTAAGGGTTTAGGGTTCAGGATTTAGGGTGTAAGGTTTACGGTTTAGGGCACCACTGTAATTCTTGAATAACAAGTCCTACCCGCGTACCAATGTGTTCGTGTCGCCTCTCTGCAGTTTTTTGGGAACATGGCCCCGCCCCAGGACCGAGTTTTTGACCTGCGCTCGGTCGTCGCTAACTTGTTTCTTTCCTCTGCCGCACGGAGGCGATCGAGCGCCGATACGAGTCCGAAATGGCGCTGGGTGCGGGCCCACTCTTCCTCGCAACTCGCGCCCGAGCGATTGGACCCATCTCTACAGGTCTGCTGTGGCGCGGCGCCCATCGCCTTCGAGACTGCTGCAGCCGGGCCAAAGGCGGGACTTGCATCACGCGGGCGAGCGAAATCGCACCGTCCCGTGGCGCAGGTGATATTGACGTCACCGTCTGCGAGCACATCGCAGTAAATCCCCGGGCCAGCCGGCCAATCAAGATCGCTTCGACTCGTCTGTATACCATCCGCAAAGCCACTCGCGAAGTCGCCGGCTCGATCGAATCATTACCGAGGCATCTCCGTGGCTGTCCTACACCTCGGAGTGCCTGGTGGCCCTGTGGTTCGCCCTGGGGAAGGCTCGCGATTACGCATGCGCTTCACGTTGCCGGGCTGGCGGTCCCGCGAGGCCAAGGTGGGAGACAGACAGGGCCGCCGTGCACCCAACGCCGGCGGCAACCTTCACTCTCCAAGAGGTGGGGTTAGCGTGCAAGTCGATCGCACCCGAGTCGACCCTTGCAGGACGCCAACCTCCGTATCACGGGCGGCCGGCGGGATCCGCCAAGTTGGCACCTGCGCAAGGCCTCGCCTCCTCGTGTGGAGCGAAGTCCGGACTCGGGGGTGGAAACCGCACGAACGAAGCCTAGGAGACGGACTGTACGCAACCTCGAGAGACGAAGACCTAAAAGCCGGGCATGCTGTCCGCCCTACTTTGACGAGGCTCGCCACGACGCGACGTGGGCCAAAGAACGCCTGCTCGTGGCCGTGCCGTACACCAACATGGTGACTTACGCGGTGCGAGCCTCAACCTCAACAACCTCGTGCGTTCGTGTTCGTCGCGACGGCCCGCAGGAGATCACAGTCACCAGGGAGGACATCAACTGGCACGTGGCGATGAGGCGCAGACACCTTGAGCCTCCTCCACACCGTGGCGATCTGTTGGCAGCGTGCTCAGAAGCCAGCCGCCGAGACGGATCGGTTGCACGGACGGCGACTCGACCAGGCCTGGGCCGCCGCTGCGGAGAGGACCTTCAAAGAAGGGTGAAGCGGCGTGGCAAGGGCCTTATCCGCTGTCTCCTTCGTGTCTAGGCGAGTCTGGCTCCAATAACAAATGAGAACTGTTGATTCCCGGTGCAAGGTGGACGGGATGGTCGTCGCTCCGCCAGATGTGTGCCAAGGGTTCAAGTTGAAGACCTGCTTTCCCACGCAAGCTACCAGTCTGTTGGATCCTGGGAATATGTTTGCTAGCAAGGGTTGCCCCCCCTTCTCGTGCTTCATTGTCAGTTTCAACGCACTTTCCTTGGCCGACGGCGTGGACCCTGGGTCTTCTGCTGGATTGCATGGTTGCACTGGTCGTGTCGCATTGCTCGATGCTGCATTGTCGCAAAGGCATGTTTTCCTGGCGGGGCTTCAAGAAACCCGTACCCCGCAGGTACTGCTCGTACGCTTCACTTCACCCGCTACTGCTCCAGCTGCCTCGAGAAGCGTGCCTTTGGGATTGAGCTGTGGATTTCACGTGGGCCGGGCTGTCCTCAGCATAAGGCAGCGGTCCTTCATGCCGATCCCACTCGCCTGACGGCATGCGCACCGCAGACGAGGTCAGAGACACTGTCGCAGAATGGCTCAACAGCATCCACGCACCTCGGTGTGATCTCCGACCTTGACCCGGGCCCGCGCAAACAGCACCCGCTGCCGTGGCTCAGCTGTTGTGCTCCGAGAAGGTTTTTAGGCGTACCATGCAGAACATTCAGCGTGGCACCGCAGCTGCCTCCCCTGAACCCCTAAACCCCTAAACCCTAAACCCCTAAACCCTAAGCCCCAAGCCCTGAACCCCCCGAACCCTAAACCCTTAACCCCAAAGCCCCTAAAGCCCCAAACCCCGAACAAAACTCTAAACCCCGGCACGTAGGACTCGTGGGTAAGGAGAACGTTTGGGTCCTCAGGCTAATATAGGGGCCGTAACAATTACCAGCACGATTTTGGGAGGTTCTTCATAATCAATTATCGTCGAATATACCCCCAAAACCTAAACCCCCTAAACCCTAAACCCTGAACTCCCTAAACCCCCTAAACCCTAATTTCCATATGGGTGGTTGTCAAAATTATGGTCCCATTTTGGGTCCTTATTATAATACGGCACCTATGATTAAGGGTACCCCAAATGGGACCATAATTTTTGACAACTACCCATATGTTAAGACCCCTACATTACCGAGGCGCTGAGTCGCCTTGTGCAAGTGCCGACGAGCGATGGCCAGAGAGAGGCGGACGGGTTTGAGGGTTTTTTTGGGGTTTGTGGGTTAGGGTTTAGGGTTAAGGATTTAAGGCCATTTAGGGTTTAGGCTTGAGTTTAGGGTTTAGGATTTAAGGCCATCTAGGCTTTAGGATTTAGGGTTTAGGGTTTAGGCCTATGGTTTAGTGGGGTTTTAGAGTCTATTGAGGTTTGCCAAATGCTTGAGGCGTGTTAGGACTTAGGGTTGAGGGTTTAAGTCCTGGTAGGATTACGCGTTGAGGGTTTCAGGGTTTTTTTGGTGCAGGGTTTCAGGGATTATCTGGTTTCAAAGGCTGTGGGGTTTGTAGGGGTAACGCAGGCTTATAAAAAGCATTCAATAGGCTTTAGGAACTTTAGGCGCCGGTCCATTTGAGAAAAATGCCGCAGCGAGGCTCCATCGAACAAGTCACCTCGCTCGCAAACCCTAAACCGCCCTAAACCCTGAGCGTCCTAAACATCCGTGATTTCCTCAACCGTTAACCCCCAATGCCCAAAGCCCTAAACCCAAAACCAATCACTAAAGTTCACTACCCATAGGCTCCATAGTAGTTCCTTGTTGCGATGACCTTATAGGATCCTAAATCTAAATCAAACAAAAGGTACTATAATGGAGCCTCTGGGTACAGCCCAAATGCTTTAAAGTCCCCAAAGCCGAAGCCGTAACCCATGAACCCTAAATCCGGAACCCTAAAACCCTAAACCCTAAACCCATAGACGGATTTAGGGGCCAAGATCCTCCAGAACCCTAGACCATATGCCAAGGCTCCATGGGGTTTGGGGTTTAGGGTTTAAGGTTTAGGGTTCAGTTTACTGTGGTTTCCAAGGGGTCTCCGCACTTTCAGGCCTAAGTATATGCTATTGTAGGCACATGGAGCCTTAGGGAACACTGAAACCTACGCCCTGAACCCTAAACCTTAAACTGCAGAACCCTAAACCTTCAATACTCAACCCTAAACCCTAAACCCTCAACTCGAATTTTAGAAAAACCCCTAAACCCTCAACTTAAACTCTAAATCCTAAACGCCAGAACCCTGACCTCAAAGGACGTCGTGCGATTGAAGCTCTGCGTGAAGCTGACGTCCCAGTCGTTCAGCTTCCAGGCTGAGCATCGACTGCCAGGGGTTTAGGGTTTAGGGTTTTCAGGTTTACGGTTTAGGCTTCGGGCTTTGGGGTTTAGGGCTTTAGGGACTTGGGGGGTTTGGGGCTTTGGGGTTTGTTTTGGGCTTGGGGTTCAGGGTTTAGAGGTTTTGGGGGTTTGGGGCTTAGGGCTTTGGGGTTTAGGGCTTTGGGGTTTCGGGGTTAGGGTTCAGGGTTTAGGGCTTAGATCAGGTTCCTACGTTAGGGTTTAGGGTGTGGGGTTTAGGGTTTAGGGTTTGGGGTTCAGGCTTTCGCGGGTGATGTTGTGACCTGAAGAAGTCCCAACTCTATTGTTTTCGTTAATTATGTTTGAAATACAATGTCCTCAACCCGAAGCCCTAATATGATACTTATAAGGTTCTGACATAAAAGTGTTGGGGTTTAGGGCTTGGGGAGTGCGATCAGTAAACCCTAAACCCTAAACCCTAAACCCTAAACCCTAAATCCTAAACCTGCGCACGCCAAGCCCCCGAACCCTGAAATCCAAAACAAAAGCACTCTGAGCCTGAAGCCCAGAAGCTCAAACCCTGAAACCCCGAAGCCCCAAATATTCTAGAGCAACCCTAAACCCTAACCTCCTAACCTCTAAACCGTAAACCCTAACCTCCTAAACCCTAAACCCTAAACCCTAAACCCGTAAATCCTAAACCCCTAAACCCTAAACCCCTTTATCCCTAAACCTCTAAAGTCCTAAACCCCTACACCCTAAACTGTTAAGCTCGAGAAACCCACCTTCCCCAAACCCCAAGCCTTAAGGCTCCCCCTGACCACATAAAGAAGCCTCATAATATAGAGGGTTTAGGGTTTAGGGTTTAGGGTAATAAATACCTATACTGTTGTGGGGGGTTCCTGAGCATAATTATAGTACAATATGCCCCAGAACACATAAAGAACCTTCATAATATAGAAGCCAAAATAAATACCTATACTATTTGGGGGGTTCCTTAACATAATTATAGTACAATATGCCCCAAACCCTATTCTAACTATTACGGCCCCTACTTTAGTCGTGCAGGTCGTCTCCCCGGAAAAAGATTGGAGCTGGCGTCTCTACCCTCGGGATGCCCAGCCGATGAGGCAGCGAGTTCCCCCTCTCTTACCCTCAGGGTTTAGGGTAAGGCTTTAGGGTCTAGGGTTTAGGATTTAAGGTTTCGGGTCTACTGTCGGTTTTATGTCTTAGGATGAAAAGTATGTAGCTATTACATACTCTCCAAAACCCTAACCTACATAACTACCATCCCAAGCCCGAGTACCCAAGTATTGGGTCCTTTGGACCCGTAGGACTCAAGGATGTAGATTTTAGGTAGGAAGGCATTTTAGGGTTTAGGTTTAGGGTTGGAAGGCTTCTCGGCTTCATGGTTGAGGGAGTCGGGCTTTTGGGTTGATAGCGGTTCTTTGGTATTGAGGGCCTCATGGGGTGTTGGGGGAGGAGATCTACACACCCATCAACCCTTAAGGAAACCCTAAACCCTCAACCCTAAACCCCTAAAGCCCTAAACCCTAAACCCTCAACCCTAAACCCCTATATCCTAAACCCTAAACCCTAAACCCCTAAATCCTAAACCCTGAAGGAAACTCTTGCGGGGGCCGGGCCGCGGCTCTGCTGAGGGCGGCCCGCGGGACAGACAGAGCAACATGACCAGGGACACTTAA